ACTCATAAGCAAATGTTTATGACCTTGATTACATATGGTAAATCAGAGTGTTTATGACCTTGACAACACACTGAAAATAAAATCCAGTGGAAGCCTGGCCAAGGGAGCTTAACTACAGCCATTTGGTGCCTTCTTACCTACAAGGACATTGATTGATGTAAGAGGCATTATTAAAACATGATAGTCCAAAGAATCAAATGTACACAAATCACTTTTGATTTCTATACAAAATCTATATATAACTTTTATCATATATATATATATATATATAACTTTTATCATAGGGTTCCAAGCAGGATCTGGGTTGTGAAGCCCATTAAACAATGGACCTCCAGGAACATCAGCAAGCTGAGGATGAGAGGGTATTAATGGTGCCTCCATACATGGAAATTGGTAGACCTTTAGAAAAATCCACAAAACCGCTTGCCATAGGCTGGTGAAAAATGTTAGAGGGGGCTACCATTCCAGAATCATCTCTCTCCATTGGTTGGTGCTGGGAGAATGTGCTTGGGTCTGATAATTGTTGATGCATTGGATGTATAATGTTTTTAAAACATTTTTCTTTTTCCAGGTATTTAACACAAGGTTGTTTAAAATCAAAGAAAGACACCTATTTCTTACCTATTTGGGAAGAGCACAGTATGATCCAGCAAAACCTAATTACATCTCTTTGGACAAATTAGTATCTATTCCTGATGAAATATTTTGTAAAGAGATTGCCAAAGCCTCTCTACAGGACTTTGAAAAATTCTTAAAAACTCTTTAGTTTTTGATCAATATTAACATGTAATGTTGTAAAATGAACATATGTATGAGTAAAATATATTTTAAAATAAATGCCTCAGGTCTCAATTTATATTAGAAACAATTTTTTTGATATTATATATTTGGACATATACACTCTGGTAGAACTTTCTTATAAGTTCCTATTGACTTAATTCTTATTTTGCTCAACCATGTCCTCAACTAAAATTAACAAGCTTAGAGAAAAGAAGTGAAGTAAGAGTACTATATGCTGGTACTTTGCCATTCTGATGAAGATGGCAACGGTGGAAAGTTTTCCTGCTCTAACATTCACAAATCTTTTCAAGTGGTTTTTTCATTTCTTTAGGTGGCTTTATTTCCTTTGAAATGTTATGAGTTTCTAGAGCATAATACACCACCCATCTAATAAGTACTACTCAATGCTCCAAACATATTCTACTTTGGATTATCTACAATGTTGTCTTGCTGAGCACAGATATTCAAAACTGCCTGCAATTGGCTACTAAAATTCAGCAAAGGGAAAGGGACAGGGAGGAAAGTTTGAAGAGGAGGAAAGGCAATAAGACAGTAACAGCCATAATAAACCGACTTACTACCAGCAAGCAGATTTATAACATGAATACCCTCACCACATATATTATCCTGGGCAAGTGATTTTATCACTGAGTCTTTGCTTCTATATTTGTAAAATAAGGCACCATGACTATCTGCCTTAGGATCACCACATTGGGTAGACTTTAACATTGATGTACTCAGTGAACCATACTTGTTATTTTCACTCTTGAGAAATTCCTTCTCTTAACAGCCAATGAGATTTGGCCCATGGGGCATATGGGACATTATCAAGTAGATTCTTCTTTTTTTTTTTTTTTAACCTTTTATTTATTTATTTTTATGTGGTGCTGAGGATCAAACCCTGGGCCTCACATGTGCTAGGCAAGCACTCTACCGCTGAGCCACAACCCCAGGTCTCAACTAGATTCTTGATAAACATTTGGATATTGGGGTATGCTTGGAACCCTGTGCTATTATTTAAAAAGGTCTAGTCATTCTACTGGAGAAGCGAGTTGGAAAGAAAAAAGAGATACCTGGCCAAACCCGTTGGTCCACACATGCCAACCAAATGCCAGATGTGTGAGGCAGCTATCTCTGAGTAGAACTATGTAGCTGGATTCAAAATTGGAAGAAATTGATTTAAAGTCACCAACTTTGGGGGTTATGTGCACAAGCATTTTGTAGTGTGCCTGATGTCTTGAAAGAAACTTGAGAAACCTAATTTGTAATTGTTCAGAATCAGGTATAGTGTCCTTCCTGTAAAGATATTTTGTTCATTCACTCAACAAACATTTGAGGTCCTAAAACACAGTGGCAAAGGTGACACAGATGTGTGCTTTCAGAGCATTCTCCAACAGATGAAGTCAATAAACAGGAAACAATGAAGAACGTACTGCTGGGAAACAACATGGAACTATCTTGCCTGGTCTTCCTGCACCACAGAACTTCATTTTGCCGTTTTAAACAATATCAGATTAGGTTAGCTATGCTACAGTAACAAATGCTCCTAAAATCCCGAGTGATTTAAAAATCATACACATTTCTTCTCATACACACTCTTGGGACCACAAGGGCTGTGTTCCATGTTATTTTGGTTATACAGGTCAATGTATCGTGAATGTCTTCTGGCTGTACATGATGTAGAGTCACACCAGTCATGTAATCATATATGTACATAGAGTGATTTTATGTGCAGTTCATTCTACAATGCTTCATACCCCTCCCTTCCCTTCACTCCCCTCTGCCTAATGCAAAGTACCTCCAGTTTTCCCTAGCCCTCTCCCCTTATTGTGAAGTAGCACCCACATATCAGAAAACATTTGGCCTTTGGTTTTGGAGGACTGGCATGATATTCTCCAGGTTCATCCATTTACTGGCAAATGCCATAATTTTATTCTTCTTTAAGGCTGAGTAATATTCCACATTGCTTTATCCATTCATCTGTTGAAGGGCATCTGTTGGTTCCATAGTTTGGCTACTTTGAATTGAGCTACTATAAACATTGATGTGGTCACATCACTATAATTTGCTGATTTTAAGTCCTTTGGACATAAACAGGAGTGGGATAGCTGGGTCAAATGGTGTTTCCATTCCAAGTTTTCTAAGGAATCTCCATACTGCTTTTCATAATGGTTGCACCAATGTGTAGTCCCACCAGCAGTTGTATGAATGTACATTTTCCCCTACGTCCTTGCCAACATTTGTTGTTGCTTTTATTCTTGATAACTGACATTCTGACAGCTGTGGAATGAAATCTTAGTTTTGACTTACATTCCTCGAATTGCTAGTGATGTTGGACATTTTTTCATATATTTGTTGATCAATTGTTTATCTTCTGTGAAGTGTCTGTTCAGTTCCTTAGCCCAATGCCTAACTTTTAAAAAGACAAAGAAGTGTAATCCCTACCCTATATGAATAGGGAAGAAACCTAAAATAATTTTTGAATCAGCAATAACAACCTACCTGGAAACATACAGGCTCAAGGCTTAATTCCTAGAGGAGCTGAATTGTGCAATCCTGGGTATCTGATCCCTTGACATAGGTCTTCCTTCTCTGGCCATTTGCACCCTGTAACCAGCTGCTGCAACTTAAAGGATACAGAAGAGTTTATGGAATACCTTTTCCTTCAGTCATGCTAATGCTACCAATTGTTTTTTGTCCCTAGATTTTTATGCCTTTGTAAAACAATGTGCCAATGTACAAATGCACTGCATTTCTTCATATCTTTCAAACTTGAACCTTGCTCATGTAGGCTAGAAGCAGTCATTCGTAAGTTTTTAGTCCTGCATACAGAACCAAGTCATAACAAGAAATTGTGGTAGCAGAGACAGAAGGAAAAAAAAGGCAATATAACTTTAGAATTGGTTTGTGACTAAGATCATTAAATAACACTTCAGTTTAAAACTGAAAGGGAAAAAAAAGTAAGATATTATCTGGTAATGGTGGAAGCACACCAGTAACTACCAGTCATGCTAATGCTACCAATTGTTTTCTGTTCTAGATTTTTATGCCTCAGACTTTACATGTTGAGGCTAAGAACTTGAAAATGGACAAAACTATGTATTTACTCCTCTTTATTTTAAAATTATATGCAAATCCTACTATCTCTCTTAGATTTAATATTTTTAAAACTTGTTTTTGAGAAGCTGGGGATTGAACCCAGGGGCCCTGTGCCACTTAGCTACATTTCAAGCCCTTTTTTATTTTGAGACAGGGTCTTACCAAGTTTTCCAAGCTGGCCTTAAACTTTCAATCCTCCTCCCTTGGCCTCCAAAGTCGCTGGGATTACAGGTGACCACCACCAGACCTGGTAATAGTTTAACTTTTTTGACCCAACCTGTCATTAAAAATGGTTTGATGTAGAAACTGAAGACCAGAAAGGTTTATTTCCTTACTTGATTAGAGTAGTGTATCTCTTATGGCTCTAGAATTAAAGGGGTTTGGATTTGTATCTGGATTCTCAGATTTTATCTCCATTCTTCCTAACAGTGTCAAAGAGGACAAGCTATTCAATCTTTCTGAATCTCACCTTCCTCTCTTTAAAGAAGATAATCACTTACTTCCATCATAGATTGAGAATTAAATGAGGATTCAATCCTCCGTTTCGAAGGTTTCTCATTTGTGGATTCAGTCTACCACGGATCAAAAATATATGAAAAACATTGCATCTGTATTGAATATATAGACTTTTTTCTTGTCATTCCCTAAATAACGCAGTACCACAACTATTTACATAGCATTTACATTGTGCTGAGTATTAAAAATAATCAAGAGATGATATAAAGAACACAAAAGATGCGTGTAGGTTATAAGCAAATACTACACCGCTTTTTATAAAAAAAAAAAAACTTAAAACATCCAGGGAGAGCCTCTGGGCTAATGGATCCAATCCCCCAGCCCATGCCGAGGGGCTGTACACCTGAAAGACATCACCCAAGTTCTTATAGCTCGTAAGCAGCAGGACCTGCACTAAATCCGGGGTCTCCTAACTCCTTGCCTAGTGTTCTTCTCATCATGTCCCAAGTCTCGGAACAGCACGCAAAACGCCGAGCTTCTACCATTGATATCACCGGCTTAATGGGGCACAGCAGGTGCCAATGATGTCCATCAGAACTGCGCCTGCGCGGACTTCCTCCCTCGACTGCGGAACGGAACAAAGCGCCTGCGCACTGCGCCCGGCGTGTCCTCTAGGACGTACCCAGAAGGCAGCGCTTTGCTCCCGGGTCAAAATGGCGTCAAGGCCTGCTGGTAAGTGACTGAGGTCGTTTCTGGTGGGTACCGCGGTGTTCAGCATTATTTTAGCAGCGACTTGTTCTTTTTCTGATCTCTCAAAATGGCCAGGTTTACGACGTAAAGGAAAGTGGCGGCTCCAGTCCAGCGAAAGGGACGCGCTTCCCTTTTCCAGGTCCTGCTTGCTTGAGGGTTGGGACAGGACCTGCTGCTTTGAAGGTGCAGCGGCGGCTCTTAAAGCCCTGAGCGGCAGCTGCCGCTGCTCGGCATCCTTCCCCTCAGCCCTTGAAAAGTTTAAGGACTCGAGGAGATAATTAGTGGGTGTCAGGGAAAGTGAACCGAGTGCTTAATGAGCCAAGCCCCGTCAATTGCATAGTCTCGATCAGTCCTACTATTGCTATTTGTTTCACGTCGGTAGAAGACAGCAGTTATTGCAAGAAATGATATTGGAGCCCTTCCTTATTCCGCCCCTGGCGCTTCTCCCTGGCAATTAGAGGTAGCTGAGCGAGGTTTACAGTTTGACCTTGGTTTATCTGGAAAGTGAGTTTGATCTGTAGGTTTGGAGAAATCTGTATTTATTGTAGACATTGGAGCAAACACATTTATTATAGAATATAATGCAGAAATTTTCGGAATATTTAAAGCAACCTCAGATAATGTTTTTTTTTTTTTTTCTTTGTTTTTTTTTCTAATCTCTGCCCTCTGGCGGTATAAATTGGAAGTTTTTAAAATATTGGTCCTTGTCTTCATGTTTCCAGCAATTGTGAAACCATTAATGAAAGAGATTTCCAGATAAATCTGTTAACCTAATTGTCATTAAGCTTTTAGGGAATGGAGAAGACATATAAGAATTTATTATTTTGGCTTGGGATGTGGCTCAAGCGGTAGCGCGCTCGCCTGGCATGCGTGCGGCCCGGGTTCGATCCCCAGCACCCCATTCAAACAAAGATGTTGTGTCCGCCGAAAACTAAAAAATAAATATTAAAAAAAATTCTCTCTCTGTCTCCCTCTCTCTCTCTCTCTCAAAAAAAAAAAAAAAAAAAGAAACCAATTTATTATTTAATTGATATGACATATTTAAGGAATCTTACTAAAATTCAGGGCATTCTGCTTCTGTGCTGTGTTTCGGAACCACATGTACCTATTAGTAGCTAATTCTGACTCTGAGTAAAATCACTTCTGTAGGCCTGCTTCTTTTTATTTTTTCATAGCTCTTAATTACCAAGGAGATTTGTTAAAGCCATGTTATCCATAACATAATAAGGATTCAGGGCCTGGTAACATTATAATGAAAGGAGAATTTGCCCTTCTTCCTTGGTAAGGCCTAACCCTAGAAGAAATTTTAAAAGAAAGTTTAAACTTGTTCTAACTTCCTGTCTGTACCATATCTCTCTGATAAATATCAGGCACAGTCGTGTCCTTAGCCCCTACTGGAATACCTCAATGAGGCTTAGCGTTGTTCTCCAAAGAATTTTAACATTACCTATTTCTCCTTATCCATGGTCAAATATTCATTCTCTTTAAGGAAAGTTAACTGCTTGAAAGGAGGAAATGGGTTTATTTTTCTAATCCATATTAATGTCTAAATTACTAACGGTATAAAAATTATTTCAGAAGGACATATATTTTAAAAGACGATAGCCAAGTCAAATAATGGTAATGTCGACTAAAAATTTTAGCAGATGGGAATCTTTACACCTGAAATATCACCCTTCTTTTCATACCACTTCTTTTGAAAATAAAATTTTATAGTTATTCATGTAAAGTATTTCTGTAACTAGAAAATGACAGAAATCCTCCAATACCTTTCCTGTATCCGCCCCTTCAATTCTAGTGGTAGGTGGACATAAGGGCACTGCATGTTGGACTTAGACTGGAGTGACAATAATGTACCTATGGATCATTTGTACACTTTTGTTTGAGTTTACCTGTTTCTCCCATGACTTGCTACAAAATTTTTTTACCTGAAGTCACTTCTTATTCATAGATAAAATAAGCAATTCTTATCTAAAATGTATAGAATGTAAACTTTTGAAAGGAAATTTCTTCTTATATTTGTAAGAAAATAACTGTAGGAGTACCAATTGCTTATCTATCACTGTATTCATAGAGTGTAAGTGAATTGGAGCAACTAACTGTGATAATTACCAGTTGCAGCATCAGGCCGGTGGCTGGAAGGTATTCGAAAATGGTATTATAATGCTGCAGGATTCAATAAACTAGGTGAGTATTTGTGCTTTCTTCTGTTTTCTTTTTTCCTTTTTCTGAGAGTAGTGCTTTTGTATGATTTACTATGGTTCCAAAAATACTTTGTTTCTGTGTACATCAAAAAATTTTAAAATTAGACTACACTTTATTGGTTTTTGTTCTTTTTGAGAGAAGAGGGATGAAATGTTTGAGGTGGAAACAGTTTATGGTTGCAGAATGTTTTCCTTATATTTTCCCTCTCCCAATTCTACTTAAATCTAAGTCATGTGAACATTGAATAAAAAGATTTTTTTTCCCAAAAATTTAGATTGAATCATATTTTACAATGTGACATGACATTTTTTTGAACTTTATAATGTGCTGTGAACTTCATCTTTTGCTATTAAAGCTTAGTGGAAAGCATTATTAAATGTTACTGAGTCTTTAGTTCACTGACATTTTATGATTCTTTAACATCTTTTTAAAAAAGATATTTTTAAATTGTAGATGGACACAGTACCTTTATTTATTTATCTTTATGTGGTGCTGAGGATCGAACCCAGTTCCTCACACATGCTAGGTGAGCGCTCTACCACTGAGCCACAATCCCAGCCCAAGATTCTTTAACATCTTGATCTCAGATTTGAAGTATAAGAAAGTAGAGATGTTGGGCTGGGGATGTGGCTCAAGCAGTAGTACGCTCGCCTGGCATGCGTGCGGCCCGGGTTCGCTCCTCAGCACCACGTACAAAAACAAAGATGTTGTGTCCGCCGAGAACTAAAAAATAAATATTAAAATTCTCTCTCTCTGTCTCTCTCTCTCTCTTTAAAAAAAAAAAAAAGAAAAAAAGTAGAGATGTGGCTTATGGATATGTGTTCAAGGAAAAGCTAAACATATGAAGTATTTTTGGAACTGGATTAGATGAAATATTGCAATTTGTAATGTTTTTTGTAAGAAGCCCATATATTGCTTCAAGAAATAACTCATTATATGGTTGAGATGCTTTAGGTTTCAAAACATACCTAGTGATTTAAACTCTTGATATTTCACCTGTCTTAAGATATAAGTCATACAGATATTGTACACCCCCAAAAAAGAAAAATCCTTACTTTTTGAAATGCATTTTCAATCTCTCTTTTATTCTCTACCATAGGGTTAATGCGAGATGATACGATATATGAGGATGAAGATGTAAAAGAAGCCATAAGAAGGCTTCCTGAGAACCTTTATAATGACAGGATGTTTCGCATTAAGAGAGCACTGGACCTGACCATGAGGCAACAGATCTTGCCTAAAGAGCAGTGGACAAAATATGAGGAGGTAGAACAGCTATTATGTGTCTGACAATGTTGACCTTTAAGGGTAGAATATTAGAAACAAAAGAAGGACATTCATTTTTGTAGTACTGTAGAATTCTCAAAGTTGTATCAAAGAAATATCGTTTCAATAGCCTGGGTAGGTTAGTAGGGAAAGCGTTGGCTCCACATTAGAGAAAAGTACATTGAGACTAGAAGTGAAGTGACTTCCAGAATCACTAAATAGGTCTTAATATAGACAGTCAGGATAGAATCCAAGTCTTTTGCTTCCCAGGCCATTGTTCTGCCTCTATAGTTGGCTTCCTGCTCAGATGAAAACATTTTGGTGTTCATATAAAGCCCGCAGAATGGTCCTCTAATGCCCAGGAATGACTTCTGTAAAGCATACTCTCACCCTTTGATCTGCACTAAAACCAGACAAAAGCCTATAGACACTGATTTCTTTTTCTTTCCTGATGGACCCCTCTCTCATAATCTATCAAAGCAATTTATTGCATTGGGGTTTTGCATTTTCAAAAGTAGATAGTTTTTAGTCTGGTTGAGAATAAATTTTCTTAATATAATGATATATATTTTTTGGAAATAAAAGGTAGTTAATTTTAATGTTTAAGACCTATTTGTTTTTTAAGACCTATTGAATATTTGGGATATGTCAGTATGTGATGGTAGAATATAATATTTTTCTTTTGCTCATTCTTTAGGATAAATTCTATCTTGAACCATATCTCAAAGAGGTTATTCGGGAAAGAAAAGAAAGAGAAGAATGGGAAAAGAAGTGATCGTGTAGTTGAAATCTGTGGAAACAGTTGTCCTCATATTTATGAAGTCGGTTAAATCTGAAACATACAATTTAAAAATTATTTCATCTGCATATATGTTACTTTAAATAAATGTCTATCATAATAATTATTGGAGTTTTTGACTTCTAACCTTAGCCTGATAAGTACTGAATTCACTTATCTGACACAATTCTTTCCAGACTTTTAAGATATCTTAAGTCAGTGTTCAACTGCTTCTGGGAGATTAGAGAGGCCACTTGAATCTTTCCCTCATTGTTTGGATAACCTCTTAGTTTTCTGAAGGATATAACATTCTACCAAGCAGAATCACCTTGTTTAAATGGCCTTTGTCAACTTGAAAGATACTTGAGAGCTGCATCAAGACCTAACTTGGCAGATATGGAATGGGGCAAGAAGCAAGAATACTCAAGCAGAATGGCTTTCAGCTTCAGAAGAGCCTGAAAGAAGGGAGACAGAAACAGCTCTTCAATCACTGCTTTCCAAGTAGACTTATTTTTCATCCTTCTATTAGAAATAGATTATGTGTACACCTTAATATGAGTATATCTAAGTTACATGTGCTAATAATGTAGGTTAGAAAAGTAGATACTAAAAAATATACAAATGCAAAGAAATTATATTTACGATTGATGTAAAGCATATTGTAAGTTTTGGGCACTAGTCCATTAAAAGTTTTAAAATTATAGGCTGATTTTAAAAATATACATTAGAATCATTCATTGTCCTCATTTCCACCCCTAAATTCTGAAGTGCTTTCTTCAGAGGTGAGAGCATGGAAACCATAGTGAGCTAGGAAGGAATGGTAGGAACTGTGATGTATAGTGTTCCACATCCACTGCTGTGTGAGGGGAGGTATCTGATTGGAATCTTACCATGAAGGACAAGACAATAGAATGAGGAAAAAATTTTGTGTTATGTTTAAAATTCATAAAATGTGCTGTTATAGTTGGTGTTTTTTTTTTTTTTTTTTTACAAAAGGAGGTATGTTTGAAAGACATGTTTTACCTTTGCAACATGATCATAAAGAGCATCTTAAAAAGTTGTGCTAAAATATTAGAAAGCCTTTTTAAATTCTGTAAGGGGGCTGGGGATGTAGCTCTGTACTAGAGTATTTGCCTGGCATGAGTGAGGCCTTTGGTTTGATGCCCAGCACTGGAAAATATATTTTTTTCCTTAGGAGCTTCTCAGATATTCAGACTGTATTTTGAATACATTACCTGAAAATTGTTCTTGTTGATTCTCTTTATTCTGATTTATATTCTCATTTGATAATGATTTTGCTCACCATAAAATCTATTCTTTTAAATCATTGATTTTTAAGTGCTGCTAATATTTAAAGCAAGACTAGGGGAAACACTGGAAGAGAATCAAACAGCTGACCAAGGTTAAGGTCTACTATGAAGAGGGGCTTCTTGTCTATCCATCTGCTCAAAATATGACAGAACAGTAGAGCAGCCTCTGACTTTCTAACAAGAGTTCCTCCTAAAGCCAAATTGTGCCTATTCTACATTGCTTGATTACTATTTTTTTTTTTTTTTTGAGGCACTCAACTACTGAGCCTCATCCCCAGTCCTTTTTACTTTTTATTTTGGAGATAGGGTCTCACCAAATTGCTTAGGGCCTTACTAAATTGCTTAGGGCCTTGCTAAATTGCTGAGGCTGGTTTTGAACTGGTGATCCTCCTTGCCTCAGCCTCCTAAGCTGCTGGGGATTACCTTTGTCTACATGACAAACAACTCAGGAGGCTGAGGCAGGAGGATTGCAAGTTTGAGACAGCCTCAGCAATTTATCAAGGCCCTATGCAACTTAACAAGACTCTGTCTCAAAACTTAAAAATTTTTAATAAGGGAGTGGGGATGTGGCCCAGTGATTAAACAGTCCTGGGTTCAATTTCTATTTGTCCCCAGGCACCCCCATAAAGGCTTTGTGTTATCAAAACTGTCCTGTTTGAAAAATCATTGTAGGAGTGTCTGAAACTGGCCTGTTATCCTGAAGACAGAATAAGAGCTTATTGTGGATCAGACCACTCATCTTCAATTCAATGCATTCACTTAATGTATAACTTTAGGGATGTGATTTAATCTTTATGCTTGTTTCCTCAACTCTAAAATGGGGTTAATGATACAACCTATTTTATAGGGCTTTTGTGAAAATTTATTCACTTCATTTTATGTCAAGCACTTAGAACAGTTTGGCACACTGTAGTTGCTTTGTAAAGGGTTCATTTCTTTTTTTTAATATTTTTTTAGTTATAGTTAGGCACAATATCTTTATTTTGTTTATTTTTATGTGGTGCTGAGGATCGAACCCAGCTCCAGTGCTAGGCGAGCACTCTACTGCTGAGCCACAACCCCAGCCCAGGTTCATTTCTTTATATGAAGAGAGGGGAGAATAAAATATTTGAGAAAACAGACTATCATCAAGTCTAATAGTTGACCAGTAGTGAAGGTCCGGGTGCTCTCTTCCATCTTCTATGAGACACTCTCACTTTTCATCCATCTAACCCCCTTGGATGTCTGACCTCCTTGAATGAAGTATCTGTTAACTGAGATGAGAAGAGGAGGCATTGGATCTGTATGACAGCTTCATTTAGATGAAGCCTGGCCAAGACTTTATTGTCTCCCTGTTTTGCCTTTTAGATTTACAGTATTTTCAGACTTCTTCTAGTGACATTTCAACCTTCATGTTGCCAAGGTGTGGAAAGCAGAGTAAAGCCTGTTGGGGCCTCAGACACCCCCAGTGCTGACCTTGGTCCTAATTCCATGATGCCTGGAAATATTTGATAACATGCCTGAACCAGGTTTTCATGACCTAAATATTTTATGTGATTATGTGTGGTACAAAAATGTTAACTAAAAAACCTTCATTAGCAGCATCTGTCCTTATTTTTAAATTCTAGAATATTAATAAAATGCAAAGTGTAGATTATGGTAACAATTTCTTGTAGCTGTTTAAGGGATCACTTTTATTTTTGAATTTTATTTTTAATTTTTTTGGTATCGCAAGATTGAACCCATGGACATTTAACCACTGAGCAACATTCCCTGCCCTTTTAATATTTTATTTATAGACAAGGTCTCACTAAATTACTTAGGGCCTTGCCAAGTTGCTAAAGCTGGTTTCTCCCAATCCTCCTGCCTCAGCCTACAGAGCAGCCACTGGGGTTACAGGCATGTGCTACCACACCCAGTGCCTACAGGCTCCCTTTTAAACTTTGCATTACTTCTGGGTTTCTAAAAGATCCAAAAAATGAAATAAAAGCCCGGGCAAAGCCCACAACTCCTATAACAATAATAATTCTTCCAAATTCAAATTAGGATAGTGTTTTTAAATGTATAGACATCCTCTGTGCAGCTTTGGAATAATTAACTGAAGTACTTGAAATTTTATTAAAAAGTTAGGTGAATGTAAAAAATGTCATAATCAAATCCTTGACAGCCTGGTGGATGAAAAGCAGATGGGTTTACCTGTATGGACAGCATGTTTTAGGAACTACAACATCAGAAAGGAATACAGTTACTAGGTGAACAAGGTGAATGAAACCTTGGAATTGGAAAGTCCCATTATCAGAACAATGACTGAAATTCTGCCACTAGGTGGCGGTGTACTACAACTTTACAACTTACACATTATAGAAGATTTATCCATTTTGTATCCCACCAACTCCCTCCCCTTCATTTTTCATGATGACAACACCTTAGAGGTTTATGGCCACCAGGAGAATTTACTACTAAGCTATATACTGATGTAATGAAATCTAATATATGCTGTGCAATGAATTATGAGATGTTATTTAGTTTCAGGATTTTACTACTTAAATCAGTTATGACCATATTTTCTTTTATATGATTGCTCACTCTTTAAAAATACCATATGACCGTATAAGGAACACCTAATAAAGTCTGTATATGTTAAAATATAATTTTTTTAATTATTTGCTGTAATTCGTTTAAATTCTGGTTATATGGGTGTTCATATTAAAAGCTATAACTTGTTAGACTCTAAGGTCTCAGATTGGATGGTGGCTCTAAGTTATATTTTCCTAAGAAATTTTACTGTGTGTACTAGCAATTGAACAGGAAGAAGAACTGAATCATTATGAAATAATTAATTTTTAGCCTAAATGTCTGAAAGCCTGTTGATATTCAAGTGGTTTAGGACAAACTATTTAAGTAGTCATTCTTAATACTGACTAAACCTCCTACAGTACATAGAATATATTATTTGTTTTACTTTGTATTTTAATACATTTGCCTATTTTTGCATAAATGCCATAAATGTGATTTAAAAATAAATCCCTGTGTAATTTCTGGTAACTATTCAATTGAATCATTGTTCTTTTAGTATTATAACTATTTTAAAGAGAGTTTTATACATATCTATGAAAACTAAATTTACAAGCCAAACCCAAAATGATAATTACTTGTTTTAGAAGAGTCAGCTTACACTTTCTTTCTTATGTATGCATTTAAATTGTGGTTTCCCACTAAACTGGAAACTCAGATCTGAGGCCAGCAATTTGACAAGGTCATTAGCCTTTATAGATGGGATTCTTTAGCTATGAAATGGGGAGTTTGACTGCAAAGTCTTTAAGACTCATTTCAGCACCAAACCATTCTGGGATTTAATTCTGTACTTCATCATTAGGATTAACTAAGATTGATTAAGTATCAGCTTTGTACCAGGCACTTGTTCCTACATTGTTCCTTTTCATCTTCCCCTGCAACCTTCTGGCATAATTGTTGTTAAACAGTTAAACATATTGTGAGGAAGAAGAACTTGTCCTTTAAAAGTTCATTTCTCTCCATTTCAGTATATAATTTTATGGGGTTTTGGGGAAGGGGATATATGTTTTTATGTTCCAGGCTAGTCAGAAGCTAGGTATAAAACAGGGCTTCTCAAACTCAGCATTATTGACATTTTGGGCTGGATAACTCTGTCATGGAGAACTGTCCCATACACTGTAGAATATTTAGCAACATCTTTGGCTTCTACACACCAGATAATGGTACCACGTCCTCCCTTCTCCTAGTTGTAAAAACAAAAATGTTTCTGAATATTGCCAAATGTCCCCTGGGGGAACAGAATTGCCCTCAATTGAAAACTACC